CCTACGTCGTCCAGCTTTCTGATTGGTTCTTTTCTTCCCTACTTCGTTTGTCACGGGGCTAAGCGACGACGACTGGCAGGAGGGGCACTCACTGGAGGCACTTTTCCTGGCTCAGTTGCAAGTGCCTGACGCGCTTCTCGCGCAGGTCGCTCGGGATGAGCTTGACGAGCGTCCGCTGCCAGAAACTACCCGTGCGGAACATGCGCCGCGTCGCCTGCTCGTAGGCGCCCGCCTTGATCGTGTCGGTGATGAGGGAGACCCAGGAGTGGAACACGCCGTCCTTGAGGCAGCCGAACGGTTCGCCAAAGGCCATGTCGCCGATGATGTCAAACGTCGTAAAGTCTGCGGCGGTCAGCTTTGGTTGCATGTCGAGCCGATGGTACTACGGGCCCGCCTCTCAGGAACCTGGCAAGGAGGCCCGAAAAAAGCCTGGCAAAAGCCTGGCAGAAAAGCCCGAGACTGGCAAGGAATACGTACTAAACCAGTCGCACATGTTGACGGCGGCGCCCGACCGCGCCAACGGCGTCAGCTTCTGCACGAAGAGGTCGACGTAGCCGCGGATGATGCTCTCCTGCTCGAGCAGCGCCTTCTGGCTAAAGGCGTGGGACAGCGTGCGGCGCTGGCGGGCGTGGTTGGCGTCGTCGGCCATGGTCAGGGTCGTGGCGCCGGGGAGGTCCTGGACGGAGCCGACGTGGATGGCTGCGCGTGTTCAGCCTGTCGGGCTCGAGAACAGAGGCAGGGGCAGAGGCAGGGGCAGAGGTAGATACGTACGGTCCTTGTGAAACTGCGGATGGCCCTGTCTGTGGCCGTAAATGTCCTTCCACGCCGTCGGGTCCGTGAAGGCGAGCTCCGACGGCATGGTGCGCACGATGGGGCCGTACCGGAGGTGCAGCTGGTGCACGTCAAAGGGCCACCGGCCGCGGAAGAGGCCGTAGATGCTGTAGACGGGCGAGATCTTGGCGAGGAAGGGGCCCGGGTACTTGGCCAGCGGGTGGAAGTAGTAGTTGTACACGCCGCTCCAGAGGGTGTAGATGGTGAGCTGTCCGGGGCCGTCAGCTTGGCCGCCGTGCCACGTGGACGTTCGGAGCAGACGACTTACCAACGCGACGAGGGCCAGGCCGGCCAGGCCGGAGTAGTCGTACAGGAGCTGAACCGCACCCATTTTTCTTTCGCTGATGGTTCTTCTTGGTCGAACCACGGTGATCGTCTCTGTACAGTCGATGCTGAGATGTCCTCCCGCGCCAGCAAGGCTGAACCTCATATACTGCCCGTCAGAGGCATCAGGACGTCGGCCATTGGTGAAGCCATCCCCACTCTTGAAAGGTCCCTGTGACGTCTCGCGCTAGGGATACGTTTACCCAGCGCCAGGGCACCCGCGTCAGGGGGTTGATGTTGTGCTGGGACGATCGTTAGGGTGGGATCTGGTCTTCCCGAACGGCAACAGGCAGGCAGCCAGCCATTGGGAGGGGAAGGCCAGTGGAGTGGCCATCACCAGGCTCAGGGCGATGCAAATACATGCTCGAGCTGATGCCGAAGCCTGATGGTGTGCATGGAGTTTGGTCGAGAGACGCAGCGTAGCGTTTGATGCTGGGAATTTTGCAGAGTGCCACGAGACCAGGTGGGCGTAAGGCGAAGGAATCCCAACCAGATGTTCATCAATATGACTCGGAGCTGAAGCTGTCTGTCCTTGTCGTCAAGTCAAGTCTGATGATGGGTTCAGTACCTAAGGTAGGTAGGCAGGCAAGGCAGGCAACTGTCATGGGGATGGAGCCTTCCTTCTCTTCGGTACTTCCTGCGCTCCTTCGCGTCCCCACGGCGATCACTGGTCACTGCGGGGCGGGGTCACTTCACGACGCGGCAGGTGGGTTCGGAACTAGTTACCCGACCGTCTGATTGGATCTCTACGACTCATGAACAGGCTGCCAATGGCCTCGACCCAACTCAGGGGCTTTCACTTGCCTTGTCATCATGATGAACGTGTGC